TAATGAAAGCCCATAATCTGGTGTCTCGCACAAAGATGTCACTTGAAAATAAATCGCATTGACGAGGGATAGAGAGAAGCAAAAATATGAGAATCAAATATAGAGATCGTAAAATTAGCCAGACGTCATTTTGTATTCGATTTTTTTATCCGGCGACTCCGAATGGAATTTCAACTGGCACTTTTTTTCGGTAGACATTTTTCGCTCGTTGTCTAGAATAAATATTTAAATAATAAGAAAATGTCATAAATCCATAAGCCATTCATTTCGAATCCAGAGCACAAAAGAAATGTTTTATGATAAAGTAGCCGTGTCTCAGATTGGATGATTATAGAAATGACGAATTTGAATCGATTTTTGGCCCGTGTCGTCGTCGTTTTTGCTATCTGTCTCTCCTTGGTTTGGTATCATCGTTTCTCTTCTTGACGCATTCGATAGAAGTCGAATTTGCAGCATTTGTACAACACATGCTTGTTCCACCGGAACCAAACTGATCGTTATGAGCACAGTATGACAAAAAAAAAATACCGATCAAATTGAGTTGACGTCAAGACAATAAAGGTCAAATTCCTTTTGATGAAATTCCAATTCCGAATCGATTGACTACGGATCTATCCTTAAAATATATTTTACGTGTTCTAGCAATCAAACACTTTTGGTCGATATGGTTGGGATTGATTTATGAGGTTGACACGTTTTCATGGTGTTGTCAAAGACACAAGAATGACAAATTACCTGATTCAGTCTAGACACATGGCTCTAATCGTTTCGAATCTATGCGAACGAGGACACTACAACCATTCGCTATATTTAATGGCTGGAAATTCTCCAGAAAAAAACCGAACGAACAAAAAAAAAAACGACCTAAAAATCTATATATTAGCATTTAAATCAGGCGCACACGCGCCACCAAATAAAAAAAGGAGCATGAAGTGTTGTAGAAAACGATTTGTCATGCGATGTGAACAAGAAGATTAGACACACGCACACTTCATCTGATTCGATAAAAGTTCACCTAATCGCACAAAATGATACCAAATCCATGGAATCCGGTTCAAACCATTGACGTACACGTTGGAATAGCATTTTCCTGAGAGAATGCTAAGGCGTTCGCGCGCGCTCTCGTTCCCATATGTCACACATTCTTATCAGAATTCCATCAACATGAGAATTGTCACTTAATCTAGTTTCTCGCGATCTTGTCCGTCGTCAATCTCGTGATAGCGAGCACACATATTTCCGCTGACATTTTTCTCTCTCTCTCTCTCTCTCTCTCTCTCTCTCTCTCTCTCTCTCTCTGCGGAGTCACAGCGCGACTCATGCAAACGGTCAATATTTGTTTAATTAAAGTTTATTCAAATTCGTTAAAATACACATGTGCTTGGGCCAAGCAGCTTGGCAAAACGAATTCGCATCATCATCCATACGTTTGGCTAAGTATAAGCATGATAAGAGTTAAAAAAAAGCACACACATAAGTGAAGAAGAAGAAGAAGAAGAAAACGTTGAAAGATTCCGAAGGTCGCCAAGGACGTTTGCAACGGTGGCAAATGTGTATGTTCTTGTTTACGTGCGCTCTTCTCCATCGAATGAAATCAATGAAAAGAAAAAATACATGGCACATACGAGCCCTTTTTTCTAATGAACAACATCGACATGTTGGAAAAATTTCGAGGTCTATTTTTAAACAATGGACAATCGTCACGTAAGCAGAATCCAGAGTTTAAATCAACTTATTTTTGGTGTGACTACATACATATAATAATCAACTAACCGGTCAATCCAACAAAAGTAAACAACTTAAGAGAATTCTGGACCAATTTTTATTTTCGTTCATCCGTTCGGTTGTATTTTTAAATTTTGTTCGGGCAAACGAGTTTAGAACCGCAACTGATCGAAGAAAAAGAAGAAGAAAAAAAAATTCAAAAACGCAAACCATCATTTCCCCACTTGTCCATTGTGTTTACGTTTAGTTGATGACAGCAGCAATAACAAAAAAAAAACGAAACGCAAATCGAAAACAGAACAAAGCAAAGAGGAAAGGTCCCAAGCTACGTTTATCATATACTGCTTTGTGTATGCTTGTATTTCTTCGCGTTCTGCCGCAGTGCAGTTGACCTTCTCAATTATTGAAATGCCGCATTTTTTTGAAGTCAGGTGCTGCTGCTGTTGCTGCTGCTGATTGAACAGCATTAGATCACTTGAAGCCAGTTGTAACACGCAATCCAGTCATTGTTTTCGTCTTTTCTCTTTTCCGCCGTTATACTCAAACCACGATCACTAATCATTAGTTTTCATCTTCTTCCGGTATTGAACAACATTTTCTGTTGTTTATTCAATACCTACTGTTGTTCTATTAAATAAGATTACTTATTTTAGCGAGTATACTTATGATGCTGTTTTTTTTTGCCGTTTATTCATTTTTAATAATTTTTCTGTTGCTTGCTTGATCGTTTGTTTGTTTTCAATAAAACAGAAGCCAACATTGTTTATAGATGACAATGATGTATTTACAGACATTTTTATAGACGAATTGAATACAATGTTGATGAATCTCATTCAATTTTGTTTACAGATTTTTCATTATCTCCGATTTCAAAATAACGTAAAACCATTTGACTTTTCTTTTGTCGACCATTTTTCAAGGGATGCCCTTCTGTTTTTGAGGAAATGCCTTTTTGACAACACATTCTTTTACAATTTTTTCAAATCTTTTTTATACATCACTTTTGAACTCACTTAAATCCAACCATTTATCATAATTAGATGCTCTTCTTTGGGCGCGTCTTTTAACGTATACATTTTTTATAGCATTTTCAATGGCAATACTTCAAATCGGTGAATTACTAAGTATTTTAAAATATATCATATCAATGGAGACATAAAGCCAAAAAAATACCTTGGATTGTCACCGCTACATATTCATTTCCTGTCATTTGCAAATGCTGAAACGGTTGAGTTGAAGTGCGGAAGCGAAGAAATGCATTGACAACGAAATTCATCATAAAATTATCCGTTCGACCAATAAAAAATTAAAGAAAAGGTTTAAATGGGTTAGTATTAGGAAGACGGTACAATTTCATTCATACGCAGTATTTCAAAATAAAAGAAGTCCAGATTTCCCCGTTTTTAATTTGAGTTTTTTCAAATGTTTTTTTTCTCACTCAATATTTAAAAAATGCGATGTTTCAACTATCATTTTGAAACGTTGCAGATTATGCTCGTTGTTCCAATCGTTACGAGGTAACGTTACGTTAATGTAAATTGCGCGAAAATGCTTGAAAATCGACACACATTTTTTTCCAACGCAAAGTTGATCAAAGTTTAATATTATCGCAACGCAACGGTGCGATTGATTATCGTGAGTCAATATATCGTGAACTTGTTTGCATCGAAATTCAGTTTTAATTTATTCATCAAGGCAAAATTATAAATAAATCAAAATCTATACATATCGGATGTCAATAATAAATAGATTTATAAAATTATGCAGAAAAAATATTATTGTTAAATATTTTGAATAAATTCTGCTTTGATTTGCAAGTGAATACAGTATTATGTGATTTGAAACGGAATCTATTTAGCAATTTAGCACTGCTATACCGACCGAATGAAGAGAAATCGATAAGCAGTTCGCAATCGACTTGAAAGCTATACATAATACAGTATAACCCAACTGACCAAATTTATCCAATTGCATTGTAATTATTATTTCGTTAATATTCAATTTATTGATAAAACATATATCAAGTTCAATGTGAATGTTAAAACCTAAACATTGAAATATAAAAAAAAAACAATGTGGAAAAAATCATTCATTGAATTCAGTTATTTCCGTTTGGGTTGACTTTCAAAAGCTTGTCTAAACTACAGCATCGATATAATCGCTTCAAATGAAAGCTCCAATATCAAGTTAGACCAACATTTGTACTGTTTTTAGTACTAATTTTTGATAAGCATAATACGTCGGTTTTAAAGCAGTTTTATTTTAAAATTTTGGATTTAATGAGCCTCTGGAATGAATAATTATGAAATCTATTAATCAGTTTCGCGCTTGGCATATGAAATACGCATAGGATAAGATATTTTACACTTCACAACACCACTGATGGAACTGACCGCAAAGAGTAAGTGCCCGAGTCAGTTTGTCTATAAAAAATAATCGAATCTGCATGCATTACACCGAACGACCCCAACGACCGAATTGATATTGTTTTTTTTTTTGTCTCTGTCCAGTTGTTTGTTGTCACGCTTGTTTGCGGTTTATTCTTTACAGATACATCAAATTTGACTAGAATTCGCGCAGCCGAATCGTAATTAATTGCTAAATCACTCTTCTCTCTCACCTCCTGTATGACAATTGCTCACAAATGTGTTTTCCCCGGATTATTTCTGGATATCACACTCTCTTTACGATGTTTATTTGCAAATTAGCCGAAATAAAACCTACTGAGAACGCGATTAGAATGCGAATCTGATGAATACTTTACAAAAGTAAACAAGGAAGTACAGTAAGAAGGTGGCTCTCCCATATAGTTAGTTAGAATAACCTTGCAGAGCAGTCCAAATCGCGAGAAAAAAAGAACAAAAATAATTTCAAACAATCTTTTGTTATGAAAGAAGTTCGCTATGGCGGAAGACTTGTTGAATTTAAAAAAAAATCTTATTCCGTTTGATAAACAACCGACCGATTTTCTATTTAAAAACCGCTTCGATGATTAATTGTCCATAAATACCTCCAAATATTCAAATACATGATTTGAAAGAATTAATCAATGCAAGAATATGCAAGTTCAAAAGATCCCCTTTAACTTAATTGTTCAATGGATGTAGAGACGTTTGACCCATTCTCATTCATCAGCTATTAAACGCTGTCAATAGAAAATCCTGTCAATTGAAAAGTCAGACCTCCAATTAAAATTATAATAATTTTTGTTGCAAATTTCAAAAATGTCGGCATTTCATCAAGAGTTGCGCTCTTACTCAAACAGAAGTAGAAAATAATTTTGAACAAGTGTTTGTTTGTTTTTATTGATTCATCGCTGCAATGTTGAAAATTGGTAACAATAAATTCTTGCTTAAAATTAAATAATAATTGATAATTGTAAAAATATGTCTTTAATTCGTTTTTTTTTTCTTCGATAATTTGTAATACAATTTATATACTATATTATTTATACATTAGGTTTGAAATTCAAGATTTCTTTCGAATATTTTCGTAATTCATTTTCATTCTTACTCAAAATCGATGCATACACTCGCAATTTCTAAATGTAACATTCTAAATTCGATTCAAATCAAACCTGTTTGATTGATGAGGTTCATATATTTGCTTCTTATTTCCTTACAGAAACATTTCGTACAAACAATCTTATACTTAACATCTATATTTATACATATAAACTAGTTCAAAACGAATTTTGGCAAGGAAGTGAAACAATTATGTTTTTGTATAGAATTATTATCACATACATGTATTGCCTATGGATTTATATTCAGAAATTCACAAAATATGAATTGATGCGAATGATGAAGAGCGGCAAAGTAGCCGGCACTTTGAATTACAATCGGCAAAACACAAATTAGTAATGATGATTGTTGCCATCGACAAAGAATGTGTGAATGATCTCCTTTAAGCTTGTGTATGTGCCGATGGTAAGGCCAGCCAATCCAATGATAAGGATCACCAAATTCTTAAGCAACATGATTGCCTTCGAGAACCCGGTCGTTTCTTTGTAGAATGTACAGTATTCAATGAGCTAATGGAGGAAAAGTAAATGAAATGGGGCTTGGAAAATTGAATTCTTTTTCCCTTCTATTTCAATAACCAACTCACCGCTGGGTAAGCCAATCCAAGTGCCGACAAACATAATGCACCAAATAACGAGATAAAGAGCTCAAGATTTGGAATGGCCACAGCCAACAGAACTGCAACAAAGAGAATCAACATGGATTAACTTTATACAAATTGAGGGCGAACGCGCGCGATATTCGCGTTGGAAACGCATGATTTCCAAATCGATTTTGGAATAAATTAACCGAATTTTACTTACACGTGACTAGAACGAGCAGTGTACGCACTACGTACTCCCAAAGTAATTTGTGTGGACTGTTTCCGACTTTTTTCACAACATAATCATTCCACGTGATATCGATGGCGACGTAGCAGGCCAATCCATGGGTAATGTAGATGCCAATTGCTAACATTCCCTTTACCAATTGGGCCAATCTGAAAATGGATGACAACTTTTAATTTAGACTTTGTTTTGTTCTAGTGTTGAACAAGAGTCGCAGTTTTTTCGGAATTAATTTCCAGTTTTACATCGAAAGTCTGACAATATTTCAAGTTTTAGATAGCATTTTGGTGATGCGAATTTGGAGTGTGTGTGAATTTCACACGTTTTCACCACTTTTGTATGACAGGTTCTGATTCAAATGAATTTAAGTGATTAATACGTACAGTTCATTTTGTGGCAAGTTAAGTGTGATTGATCCTTTGATGTCCACACCATACTTGAGATATCCAAAAAAGCCCATGCCAACGTATAAGAAAATGATTAGGATCATTGAACGATTCAAAACGCCGAAATTACCGCCGAAAGATTTTGGTGTTTTCATTTCATTTTCCAATGGCATAATCACGCCAATGGCTTCCAGTGCAAAGAGAACGGTGCCAAAGAACAGCGGAAAATTTCTAAGACTTCCGACTGCTTCTTTTCCTTCAACGGAAATTGGCTTTTCAAACAGATAGTAGCAGATAATGCCGAACGAAATGATTGTGATGACATTGGCAACGGATGAGAATGGTGCCAAATACTTCAAATTCCGTACCTAAACACAAAAGAAGAAGAAAAAAAAACGAGTCAGACAAAAATATCAGTTTAAAAATAAACTCATTTAAATACGAAGAATCTTGTTTTGTTTTTTTCAAAATAAAAATTACACTGAATAAAAAATTCGTAATAAGAAGAATGAATCCAAATACTAACCCAGTTAATTAAAATGAGAGGTAATAGAATGATGACCATAAATAGTCGTACATCGATTTCGTCATCGTAGAAATAGTCGACAATGTCTTTGATATTGGATGCGACAAACACGACATAAATGCAACAGGCACCCAGTTGATAGATGAGCAAAAATGCATTGGTGATATCACTAAACGCACGACAACGATCACAGCCACAATAACGAAAAAAAAAACAGTGAAGAAGAAGAGTTGATTTGAAAAAAGAAAAAATACAAGTTATTAACCTCGATGCTGATTGTTTTCAATGTCGACGGGTGTGTGATAGAGAGAGAGAGAGAGAGAGAGAGAGAGAGAGAGAGTATGTTACGAAGTAGGTCGATAACTTACACAATATATGGGGCAACGGCACGTCCCCAGCTTGGTCCCTCAAGCAATGCTGCTTCCACAATTGCTGGATAAGTTAAACTTGGGACCTGTTCAAACAACAAATAGCCCAACATAATACATAAGTTTGAAATTGAATTACAACAAATTTGTAGTCATTCAAGTACCTTTTTCCGTTTGCACAGTTCGTAGTGTGAGCGGAGCAGCATGTGAATGCAGTATGTGCAAATGATACCGATGATAATTGTGCCAACAAAACCAACGGCATAGCCGGAATTGAGGAAGGCATTTGGCATGGCCAGAATGCCAGTGCCTAATGAACCCTTCAGCAAATGAATCAGCGTATCATTGTTTCTGTTGCAAAATCCGAAAAAGGTAGAGAGAGAAAAAAACACGAAAATTATAGGAATTAATCTGTTTTCAATGGAACAAAATTGATTGTGATTTAAGACGATAAATTCAAATAATTGATTTAAATGAAAAGATTACATAAAATATGGTTTCATCCCACTAACCGGATGGCTTACATACTGTGAGTGAGTGAGTGAGTCAGTGAGTGAGTCAGTGAGTGAGTGAGTGAGTGATACATCCATTTTCATTAAATGTTGATCCATGTCATTAATGGCAGACAGTAAGAGATGTGCATTTACTAGAGCATCTTCATAAAACAAGCAATATAGTATGTTTGTTCTTTGTTTCAAATGAATATGAGCTACTTTAAATAAGCATGTATGTCCAAGTTATATAATGTTGAAAAGAAATGTATGCATTCAATTTTGTTTCGATTAATTTCGACATTGTTGCATGAATGGCTACGATAAATCGATATTTAATCATGAATTGAGTGTATTAAGAGCTAAATGTGTGGTTTTTCTTTCGTTTCTTTCTCAATTTGACTGATAATCAAAAATAATGATTTCGCCGAGTGATTCAATACTAATTGAAAATGCAGTTTTAACGATCATCATCATTCCAGTGTGTAAACAAACGAACGGAATTCATTTATCCTCCTTCTTATGTTATTATGACTGCAGTTGTATGTCATGACAATTAATATGCATATGCATTGAATCACTGTGCGAAAATGTCAAATTGCTTGTGTGTCCAATGCAACGGATTAATTCAACAAATTTTTTTTTTCTGGTTCCATTGAATACTCACGTTGTTGGATGTTCAACTTGACGATTTTTATACGGATCATATGGTTCTTTCTCAGACTGTGCAACACCACTTGATACTGGCCGACTTTTTTCGGTCAACTCGATGGTGTAATGTGTTTTTGTATCGATTCTGTAAAGAAACAATCGGATGAAATGGAGAGTTAATGAGGCGTATTCACGTTGAGAGTGTCAATGAACGGGAGAATTTATTGAATTTATTCCATACAAAAGACTTCACAAGAGAAGCAGTTCATAAGGTAGACAAAAATTGAATGCAAAAACCAAATTGGATACAAGAGGCAAAATATTTCGCAATACATTTTTCTTAAATATGTTTTTTCTTTCCAATTTTCAAGTTTTAAACAAAAAACAAATGCTTACCCTTTGCCTTCATCACTGACAAAGGCAATGTTACTGTGACCCGTTTTACTCATGATGTTCTGGATTCAAGCGTATTCTTCGCTTTTCTCCACCCGTTTATCTAGTTGATATTTGATATCGCTTTCCGTTTTTGGCTGCTGTGTTACGATCGTCCAAAATTGTACGATTGTCGTCGTCGCTGATTCGGTTGTCAATTCTTTTCGAATGCGTGATTTTTCTGATATTATATGTGATATACCATAACACAACACGTGTACGTGTTTGAAAGCGCATTTTCATTGATCAAGTCGATCGTATCAGAGTAGAAAAACACGATCATAGAAAAAGAAAGAGAAAAATAAAATGAATAAAAATAACAATTGGAACAAATGAATAGACATTAATATGGATGACGGTATTTGAAGTTCATATATGGCACAGAGAAGACGGAATGAGAAAAAAAAACACACCGCAAAGAAATGTGAATAATGATAATAATAAACAGTAATGTTTGTTCAATGATCGGGTGCTCGCGCTTTTGTGTTAATATGGCTATGACGCAGGTGCTGGACAAAAATATATCGTCCATTTTGCCATTAATGTAAACAGCAATTCATCTCCGCAATTCGATTTCCCTAGAATTCGCACTCGACACGCATACGAATGAGAAAAGCTTCGCATAAATTTTTATTCCGTTGATTTTGCAATGAGCTAAAGTTCAATAAATCGTCACATTTGCAGCATCGTGAACATTGTTCACTGAACAAACATCAATTGTCAACTGAAATGTTTTTTTGCAGAGGAGAAAAAAAGCCAACAAAGCGATAAAATTCCACTCAGATCAAACACTCGAAATTTAAAGAAAACATGTTTTCTTCCTACATAATTGAAATTTCACTCGTGTTTTTGCACAGCCTTTTATTCATTAACAAGATGAATATAATGAAACACTTGTGCCGGATTATGTACCTTGTTATTTTGTGTATGTGATAGCTTTTTGTGATGCGAATACAATTTTTTTTCTATTTTTTTCACGCGTGCAAATCAAGTGGAAAAAAGAGTAATTTGTACATTCGGTTTTAATCGATTTAAATCACAACGAGCACACACCTAATCGCTTCTGGCATATAAAATACGCATAGAATATGATATTTTATTTACACTTCATAATACCACCGATGGAACTGACCGCAAAGAGTGAGTGGTCGAGTCAGTTTGTCTCTCACAAATAGTCGAAAATGCATGCACTACACCGAACGACCCCAACGACCGAATCGATAATGTTTGTTCAGTGTTTTTTTGTCTCTGTACACTTGTTTGTTGTCACGCTTGTTTGCGTTTTTTTTTTCTCTACCAGATACATATCCAAGAAATTGCTAAATCACTCTCCTCTCTTTACCCACCTCCTTCTCTCTCACCACCTATTTCTGAACATCACACTCTCTTAACGACGTTTATTTGCAAATTAACCGAAAATTCACTATTTAAAACTTCCCCCGCTCTTTCGATCATTCACTACCCGAATCCATTCGATCAACTGACTGCGATCAATTGTACGGTGTATACTCTGTGTGGCGCACAGTTGTGCGCACAGCTATTTTTAGGTGCTTCGATTAATTCACATGCAATCGAGCTAATTTTTTTTTCAATTCATGCAATGAAACAAACAAAAAATTAACCAGAATTTCCAACCGTGTCATGCATACGATATACCGATGAAAAAAAAACACCAATTATTCTCCTCTGTTGTTCTAGTGTTCCGATTGTATACATATTAGGGTGGTCCAAACTGATTTTTCCAGGTAAGGTATGTGCTCCCAATAGCTTAAAATTAAATTGGGCTCAAATCTAGCT